CCCGCGGCAGCCGGCGACCAAGATCAGACTCAACTCTGTCTCACAACTGATCTCTACACTAGACCTCAATGGAGGCCCCACATCAGCTGACGACTCACTGCCATCCAACAATCGCGGATCGAATGCACATCATAGTCTGGAGCAGAGATGCATCTATTGAAGACGCCGTCTTCGGGAGTGTGATCGAGACGGAGCTATTTGGTGGGGAAGCCCTTCCACGACGCTGCAGCCTTCTTCATAGTCTCGCTCTGCCCAAACGTCTCGTCCCATTTCTGCGTCAATGCGATGCCAGGGCCGGCAGAGACGGTGTCCGCGTTGGATTCGAGGCCCTTGGCCGTATCGCTGATCCACTGTTCCACGCGCAAGCTCTCCGGATTCTTGTGCGAGTCTTTTGGATCCACGCGAGATCTGTGCAGCTCGGTGGCCACAGAGGGCGGGACCAGCTCGCTGCAAGTAGAAGAAGAAGGTATTAGGCGCTTGTACGGCATCGCCATGTCCCCCCGTCACAATCGCCAACACTCACATTACGCGCACGTTGGTCTCCTTCAACTGCACTCGCTGCGCAATGGCCCAAAAGTGGATAAAAGCTTTGGTGCCTGTGTGTGTGTGTGCAGAGAAGCAGTGGGTGGATGGGCGCGCGTGAGCAAGTCAACAGTGCCATCTGCCGGCATGTCGACCAAACGCACCATTGTAGACGGGATTGAGGATGCTAAAAGGCGCGAATCCGAGCACGCTAGAGACGTAAAAGATGCGCGCAGCAGGCTTGGACTTGAAGTGATCCAGCAGGTGGGTGGCCAAGTGAACAGGGCTATGCGCATTGGTCCGAAGTTCCGCATCCACATCTTCCAGCTTTAGATTGTTGACGTCGAGCGGCAGCTGAACGCCTGCGTTGGCCACCACAGCATCGATCTCTGGGTGCTCCTTGATGAGCTTCTGTGCGAAAGTCTTGACTTGGTCGAGGTTGGACGTGTCGACTACGTAGTAGGGCAGATCGCCCAGCTCCTTGGAAGTCTTTTGCCTAGGCTCTTGTGTGTGTGTGAGCGTCTGCAGGGATGTTACAGACGCAGCCATTCCGCTACTCACAACTTTGACTCGGTGCGCCCGGCGATGATGACCTTCTTGCCGAGCTTCAAAAAGTACTCTGCCAGTGCCCGCCCTAGTCCACCAGCGCCGCCGGTGATGGCGACGCACTGGAAGTTGAGTGTGTCAGTGGGAGCCATGGTAGTGTATGGATGTCCGTTTCGTGGGGGTTGCGAGGAGGAAGTGGGCAGTCAACAGGGGTGTGACGGGCTCCATGACGGGAGCAG